CCCCAAAACCCCAAAACCCCAAAACCCCAAAACCCCGCATTAAGAATACAAAATTGACTGAAAATCAGTATAATAATTTCTGAAAAAAATATGAACGAAACTGAACTTAAAGATTTCGAAGCCCTTGCCAATGTGATTGCCAACCCTTCTAGCTCCGGCTCGTACGGCACTGACTACCAGAAAGCCAATGAGACTTTGAACACAGTCACCTCCAATCTCGAAAACTGGGACAAAATCCACTCGGTCTTGGAACTCACCGAAGATCCAAATGCATTGTTTTTCGCAGCAATTTCGCTGAAGAATCTATTCGCGGACAACTGGACCAAAGTGCACAAAGACAAGAAGGTTGCCATTGCCAGGTATTGCATTGAGTTCTTGAAAGCAAAAGGACCTGACTGCAAACGAGAAGTCCTCAATGCAGTCATTATGCTCATGGTCAAGGTGGTCAAGCTATCATGGTTCGATGACCAAGCCCACCAAGACTCAATCAAAGAAGTGCTCGGACTCCTCAACATCAGCATTGGCCACTGCTTTATCGGAGTGTTGGCTCTCGAACAAATGATTATTGAAATGACTTACATCAACAAAGGCAAAACTCTGATTCAGAACAGACGGATTTCGGTCAACTTCAGAGACAAGTACTTGCTCAAAATATTCGGAACGGTTGTCACTCTGCTTAACGAGTTGCAACCGAAGATTGCAGCTGATAGTTCTGGGCCTGACTCCGATGTCATCAGACAGGCTTTGTATCACTGTTGTTCTTTGTCACACAAATGACTTAACTTCGAGTTCATTGGAGTGATGCTCGATGACACTTTGCAAGAGTCAATTGGGACTCATTTCCCTCTGAGCTGGAGAGAAACTCTCCAGAACTTCGACAACACCGGAGCATTCTTTGCTGTCGCTCAGACTCCGACTCTGACAGAAGAGACTTACATTCTGGCTCTACAGTCGCTATGAGAACTAGCTAGTTGCAGAATCAGCATTTTCGAGAGTCTTGAAAACAGAAAGCATTTTGTCCACAACTTTGCAAGGAACCTCAGCGAACTAATGAAAAACCAATCCGAAGACTTCTGATCCTCTAGAGCGATTTCACGACACTACATCAAGCTGTTCTACAAGTTCGAGATGAACTTCCAAGTCCGCTCTTTTGTACCGGCCAGTGATGATGGCAAGCAAGCTCTCATAAGCTACTTGTCAGATCTTGCAGAGTTCACGATCCTGGTCATCAAAAGCGGTCAGAGCTACCTCAGAGACATTTCCATTCACTTGTTGGCAGCCTGGAACCGAATCAACGTTGAAGTCAAGAACGAGCCCGAAATAGTCAATAAGATCGAAGAAATAGTAGTCAACTTCATTGAACAGAACATATCTGACTTGAGTGATGACCAAGAAGACGAAGATGACGAACACTTCAACGAGAAAGAACTCAGCAACCTGACTCAACGCTTCGACATCATTGCAAGAACTTGCAAGATCCAGATCGAGTCTGCCTACAACTGTCTGAATGACGGACTGACTTTCTTGATGGGCAAGTACTCTGAAGAGCTCGAGAACAGCAACCACGAGCTGCTCGAACTCATCGAGAAGCGATTTGCTTGGACCATCAGAGTCGTGTGAGCAATGATGGGACTGGGCTTTGCTCCGAAGATTCCTCCACCAGACTCAGACGAGCCGGCACCAGAAGGCCAGAATGAATGAGATGCTTGCATCAAGATTATTGACATAATCAAGAAGAACGTGGAACTGAACATTGAAGGAACAAGGAAAATGAGCGAGCTTTTTGAGCTGGCAGCTCTCAGCTTTATTGGAACATTCAGGAGCCATATCTTGTGAGACACTCGAGTAGTATCTAAGTGACTATCTGAAAATCAAGACGAAACTAGTATTCACTGTAACACAAGTTATTTAAGAATCGCAGGAATATTGGACTCTAAAGACTTGCTAGGAATCGTAGAAATATTTTTCAAGAAAACTATTCTGAATTTATTCTCTGATTCAAAACCTATCATCGAGCAAGACCTTTGAATCATGAACACTTTAATAGCTTCACAAGAAACAAGAAAATATTTAATGGTTTTAGAAACAACTCAAGATCTGATGGAGAATCATTTTACAAAATATGAAGTTCTCAACACTCTGGATACATTAGAGTACCTGAGCGAATTTTATAGAATCCTCAGCATTTTTTGGGATGTCAACGACTACGTAGACAATTTCTACAACTACATGAAACCAGTCACAGAATTTATCAGGGAGCTACTTGATCAGGACCCCTCAAGCTTAGAGCAAAGAAAAGAAAGTATTCTGAGAGCACTTGAGATTTTAAATGGAGTTTCATCAGGCTTTTCACAGCCTGAAGCATTCAATAAATTCTACACATGGTTCAGTCAGGGTCCAAATGAGATAATCTCACTAGTCTTTAATAATTTCTGTGAAGACAAGATCCTTCTGAAGAGTGCTTTCAAATTGATGAAGAGTTTACTAGATAATAAATCAGGAAGGTTCAAGCCTCAATATTGTTATCTAAATGGATTCCTCATGTTCAAAGAGTTTTCTCAAATTGTGATGCAATATTTCAAATATGTCAATATGTACGAAGGTGTCAAAGTTACTGGAGACAAATTCGACAACAAGTATGAGTTCATAGATTTGGGCATCTGAATTCTTGGAAATCTGATTTCAGGAAATTATATCAACTTCTCTATGCTGGAATATTACGACGATACCTCATTTGTAGATTTTTGAAAAATAATTATGACTTTAATAGTGGCTCAAGATCATGAAGAACTCTCGTCTTTCAAAGTTGTGTGACTCGATAGTTATAAAGTCATGGCTGATTTTCTGAAGCATCATTCTGATATGATGATCAGATGCTTCGAGCCTGGCTTGATAGTCAAAATAATCGAGTTTCTACTCCTAGGACTTCTCACCGAAAATGATAACAAAGGTAGATGCTGAGATGCTCTGAAAGATCTCATCTCTTACATTTATGCTTCTCGTGGTAGATTACTCAATGAGATAGAGGAAATTTTGAAGATTGAGGAGGGAATCTTTAAGCAAATACTAAAGACACTGCTTACCACTGTGATCTATGAGGAGCATAGAGTTATTTGGGTCTTTGCAAAGCCTCTTTTCCCAACAATTGTTCTCAACGGAAGAGAGAGTTATGAAGCAGTCAAAGCTGAGATTGTAGAAAATGAAGTCAACCAAGAACTGAAGGAAAAGATAGAAGAAGAGCTGACCCAGCTATGCAGTGATGTATTCATTGACCCAAGTATTGACTTTGAACATGGGTCTCCTAATGAGATCAGTCTGAGTAAGAGGAATAAGGATAAGTTTGGAACAAACTTCACACGATTCAAGAATAGTCTAGTAAAATTCAAATAATTTACCAATATGATAAAGTTAGGTATGAAGACTTAATATCTTTACTCTCAAAGTTATGTATCTCCAAAGTGGATAGGGAGGGTTTCTAAGTTTTAAGCTCCTAGACTGTCTCACGATGGTAGCATTTTAATTATCTCAATTTCTCCACAATGTAGATGTTCAATTTTTCAAATTGTGCTTGGAATTTTTCTTGGTTTAAAAGATTGTTATTGACAGAATTTAGTGAGTAGAATAATAATTTTAGATCGGATTAAGCTGTTTGATTGCCATTACTCCATTTTCTTAATCATACCAATTCTGTTCTTTTAGTGGATATATAAACTACTCTATTCAATATTCAGCAAAACAATGGGGTTTTGGGGTTTTGGGGTTTTGGGGTTTTGGGG